AAATTGATTACACCAACAAAACAAAATCGATTTGTATTAAAAAGAAAATCACCAAATATTGAAAAACAATTATCACCAACTGATAATTCAAATATGAAAATATTTGAACAAGATGCAGAAACTTCTGGTAAAAGAATTTTTATATGAAAAACAAAAACAAAAAAATTATTATCTATTTAGAATCTTCATCAACATTAACAATTCAAGCTAAATCACCAGTACTTCAATTACCTCAAAATCTTCGAAATCATTTTGCTAAACAAACGTAAGTTTGATTTGATTTTCTTTTCTTTTGAAATTCAATTTTATCTTTTTGTTTTTTAAAGTACATCACAAATGGTTCGTCTAACATGAACAAAAATCAAATAAACTATTTCTTGTTTCATTTTTGTTATGTCATGCATGTATAATTCATTCTCAAATCTTGTCTGTTTGTGCGTGTGTTTGACTTCTCAATAAGTTTATTATGTATATTGTTCTCTCTTTTTCTTCAGATATTTACTATTTTTTGTTCCTTGTGTCTTTTTTTTAATTTCTTGGTAGATTCGAATGAAACTTGTGTATGTGTGTATAGAGAGATATTTGGGGTGTGTGGGTGTGGGTGTGGGTGAGAGAAAAATATCACATCCATACACACATCTCACACCCACATCACACCATACCCACCCATCCACACCCACACCTGTAAAAAGCAGGAGTCCACATAATATATAATGAAAGATATTCTCACCTTTAGAAACAAATTGTGTCAAACGTAATTGTAGTTGTTTATTCGCTGCTGGGCAAGGTACAGATACATTTGCATCAATATATGCTTGTTGCACTATAGAATAAAGGTCATCTGAAAAATACCTATCTGATAAAATCCTGAGGAAAAAGGTTTTTTACTTGTATTTTTCACTGATTTTACAAAATTCACCTTGTACATGATTGATCAGTAATAATTAATCTAAAATGAAATAAATGTAACCATCACATAGTAGAAGACTTACCTGTATTCTCAATCAAGTTCTACAACATATAAACAAAGAAAAGTAATTAAAAAGAAATCAAATATCACCAAGACACAAAATAATCAGAAAGTAAAAAAACATGTTATAAACCAACGCTAGTGTGTAATAAAGAGAAAACATGAAAACCTTGAATATAAAAAATAAATATTTCAATCATGGAAAGACATGATAAATAGTTTAAGTACAGTGTAAGGGGGAGAGGGACGAAGAATTTTAGGCACTTCTGGTAGTCTATCGATTTCAGTGTTATCAAATAACAGAAAATGTTTCAAAAATATACCATAAGATCTAGAAGTGAACGAGCTACGCTTTAGTATGAAAATGTTTTAAAAGTTATTAGTTATAAGAGTTAAGTATTTATTAGGATTAGCTATGATCAATTACCAGTTATAGAAAGAACTTGTCATAAGTTTTGGTTTTGAAGTACACTGTAAGAAAGAGCATTGAAAACTACGCAAAGCTCGTGTTTTTTGTAACAACTGACCTTAATGGAATTTTTTTAGCACTTTTTTTAGAATCTACTTAGTACTATATTAATGATTAATAAAATAAATGCTTAAGAGGAAGCTGTAACATTTTGAAAAGCAGTGCATTTTGTAGCTTCCTCTTAAAGATTTATTTTATCAATTATTAATATAGTATTAAGTAAATTCTAAAAGAGCGCTTAAAAATCTCATTAAGGTCGGTTGTTGCAAAAAAAAACAGTTTTGTTTAGTTTTCAATGTTTTTTCTTATAATATACTTCAAAACTGAAATTTCTGATAAGATTTTTCTATCACTAGCAATTGATGATAGTTAGTACTAATAAATACTTAATTCTTATAACCTCACTAGATATATCAGTGTCTTAAAGAAAACGATTTGACTATAGTTGTAAAAAAAAATATCACCGAATAAGAATGAAGAAAATGATATAAAACGTAGTGAACTACATGATATTGGAGTAAATCACAATATACTATAAAATACAAAGAGAAATACGTCAACATTTATAGGCATTTATTCGAAAGAACTTACGTTATCTATCATGGTATATAAGCAACGTATTGATTTGATTGCGGTAGTGGAACGGTAACATTTATTGGTGTAAGAAAACGAATTACTCGAACTAGTTTTGGTGCAACATCAACAGTAGATGTTGATGATGATGGTAAATTAGATACGCCGGTGAGTGCACGAATAACTGGCGGTGAATTAATTGATGTATTTACTCTAGAAGAAGTAATATCACCTTGACATGTTTGAGAATCATTTGTTGTGTTGATTTGTGATGCCGAAAAATATGGAGATGTATATTTTTTATTTGATTCTTTATCAATACGTCGAGGACGTTTACCACCTGGCTTTGTTATCTTGTCGTCAATTCGTTTTCTTTTTCGTTCATGACCAAGATTAATCTTATTGTTGCATTTATCTGCCAGTATACCTTATAAAACGGAGAAACAAGTCAGACAAAATGGCGACTTAATTTTTCAGTTTAACAGTTACCTAGAAACAGTTTAACAGCAAGCACATGTGAGCAATTTTGTAACGTGCTAGGACATGAACATCGAAATAGTCGTTTTGGATCATTCATGTGAACGACGTGAACCAAATGATGGTCGAGAGATCGAACAGTAAATACTTTGGTATTAGCATGATATTGAACTAAATCTTGTCCAAGAAGAAGAGTAGCCCGGGCAGTATTTGTTAATGTTTCTTGTTGAATGGAATTTCGACTATTATGTAATGAACTATTGAAAGAATTATCCTAATGACCTATCTCCTGGATAGGATGCTGTTGGGCTTCATCATCATTATTATCCAAGTTGCAGATTGAAAATTGATGTTCTATACCAACGGTTTCAAAATTAACATCAATTGAAGATGTTGTTCGTTTAAGCAAGACAGATTTCATTCGTGCAACAGCATCATCTGGTGAAAATCAGGAAACCAGAGTTAAAAATGTTACATCCATTTTTGAACCAATATGTTTTATTTCCAAATGGTAACCACCTACAATAAACAGAAAACGTAAGACAAGCTCAGGACAACAAGGAGTAAAAGAGACCAGAAGGTGTTCTACGTACCATATGCACAAAGCCCACGTCTAACTTCATAGACGTAAAATCCCATCACCAAATAAAACATTTGATCTAATGCATCTAATGATAATTCTTTCCAAGAAACCCACCGTTTAAAAACAGCATTTATACTTTCAATTGGGTTGGTGGTTACTCCAGAAATTTCATCGAATAGATTCAGTGGTCGACACGATCACCTACCTGAAGAAGAAAAAAGTAGTTAATAGGTTGCAGCACAGGAATGAGACAAGCCTATCTTTTCAATGACGTACTTCAATTAGCACAAAATTCAATAAGTTCTTTAATATGCTAATGCGATCATTTTTTTTACATAACTTTTATTGATCCAACGTGTAGATCTAATTTTTTTTTCCTTTAATTACTCGATTTAGTTTTTGAGGATAATTAAAGCGGCTAAAGAACAAAATGATCGAGTTTCGTACAGCAATAGAAAATTACAGTAGATAACTCAACTTACCTCCGAAGGATAAGTCGAGTTATCAAAATGGAAAAAAAATTATATCCGTATATTTGATCGATGAATACTATCTAAAGGATAAGTCGACTTCTGAAATAAGGTCAGAAATTAAAGCCTAAGCCGTATCCTTAAAAGAGTCTTAACAAGGAGTTGTTTATTCCTTCAAGATAACTCGATTTACACGAAAACAACGATGATCATGGACAAAAATGACGACAATAATTCTTTTTCTACTCATCCAGTTCATCAACTTTTGGTAAAAAGTATTTTTCAAAATATTCACAGAATTTTTTTGGCCATGATATAGAAATGTTTTCGTACTCGATAAAAAAATCAGTACGAGATGTTGCACGTAGAAGGTTTGTAATTGTATCAATTGCATTAGCTAAAGTTTCCTTTTTATTTGCTTGAGCAACAACATCTTGAACAACAATATCCTGAACAGCATTTACTTCTTCTTTAATATTAAAATGCTTTTTAGCACCTAATTTTAAATCTTGAATAGCATGATTCCAACAACGAAGTTGTAACATTGTTGGATAATATGTTCGAAAAGCATTTTTTTACGCAGTTTCACAGTCAGTAATAAGTAAACATTTTTTTGTAAATCGAGTAATTCATCATTTAAGACTTGTACGAAGCGGCGGTTATGTGCTGATTCACGTTTCGTATCATGCATGAGAATTGCAAGAGGAAGTATTGGTCGTTCGGAAAACATCACATGTCGAAAAGTAAGTATTTGAAAATAAAAAGCACCTTGATGTCTTATCTTTTATTGGGAATCTAGAAGTCTTACTGAAACGTAAATTTCACCAAGAGAAAATGTTGTGTCATAATATAATAGAATTATTTCTTTTGTTACCGTAAGAAGATTTAAAAAATGCGGAAACTTCGGATTTAAATCTGAGAGTTAAGTGTACTTCAAAAAGTGAATCAGACGAATTAGCCATCCTAGAATGTGTAAACATCAAAATTATACTGGGGAACCTACCCTCTAAACTGTTGATTTCCATTGGGTATTGCCAAACCAATAGGACTTGGGACTGAATACAGCTCAAATTTGAACTCTTCTCCTTGATTTACCCTAAGAAAGTCGTTTTTCCTATAACTTGATTTCTATTAGTTACTGCTCAACCAATAGTATTTCGATGGAAGCGGAATGCAGATTCGAGTTCTCCATCTCAGAAAACCTC